TCAGAAGTAGTTCTGCTATGGCTTAACCCAGCAGAGGGAGAGTTTGTGATTTTTACTTCCGACTGTACGGATGGCCGTGTCCTCACTGCATGTCTGATGGTGCACGTCTGCCTGACAGGTATGTGCCAGGCAGGTGTGCTTGGGGCTTGCTGGATGCTCACTGAGCGCGTTTCCACCACCCCCTGGTCAGGGATACGTCTGTACAATTTTGCCTGAGTGGACATGTACAGACCCGACTTTTTAAAAGAACCAGTGCAGAGGTCCATCTTCCTAAGAAGGCCACGCTTAAAAGAAGGAATTAGTATATGCTCAAGTTTGGTGGGAGACGCTAGATTCAGAGGTCTGCACATGCAGGGAGAACCCAGCAGCAAAAATGGGCATCCAAGATAGGAACACGTGGGACATGACACATTAGCAAGGAGTGGAAACTGAGTGGGGCCCACAGGATTAGCCTCAGTGGGACATGAGGAGTCATAGGACTGAGCCACTGGGCAGAGCAAAGCCCTGTTAGCCTATGTGATGACTGCTCTTTCTCAAATGACCTGGACAGACCATGAGAGCTCAGTGTGGCTTTCTTAGGAACGCTCAATATCGAATTGTCAAATTTAATTCTGGGATTCTGGAGTTGAGAGACAATGACCTACCCCAAGGAAGAGTGAAGGGACAGTGAGTTACCCTGAGGCCCTCGCATGGATGTTAGCTGGCCCACCTGGGGCTTCTGCTGATATCTGGGATCAGAAGTGTCTGTAGGGGGACAGCTGCTTCCATAAATTCTGGGGCTGGCATTTGGTGTTGGGGGTAGGGTTTGTTGCATTCCATTGTTGAGGGACATTGTTCAGACCCTGGCATTCCTCTTTGACTAGGATATTTGTGATGGTAGAATGGATGGATGGAAGGACAGGTAGATGGGGGAAAGTAGATAGGAAGAGCAAAGAAAAAAGGAAGAAATTGATGGAAAAACCTGAAGTATAACATTGAATCCGAAGAGTTCTGCCCCATTCTGGGTTTCACGCTCAAGAATGGAACTTCAGAGACAGAGAAAACCCAGCAAGTGACAAGGACCAAGGAGGATTCATAAAAGAACATGAAAAAAAAAAAAAAAGAATTCTTCATTTCGCTCAACATGAGCTGGGATGTGCTCAGAGCTAACATCAAAAGACATGCATTGAGCCACCTGGGCAGTCACAACGCTCTTGGATTTTAGTCCAATAATCAAAGTGCTTCAAGAAGGTAGTTTTAACCCAAATTATAAGGAACATTTCTTTTCATTCTATTAAATTATTATACGGAACATGAGGTGGTTATGGATTGGAATTATTGCTGGGACTAATGGATGGGATTTACTTGGAGTCACGTTTAGCAGGACACGTATGTTTAAAAGATTGTCCAGCAGTGAGGCAGACTTGCTTGCGACATCTTGAGCCCCTCGTCCTTGAAAATGAACTGTCAGGCAGGTGGTGAACTTGGTTCCTGCACTCGGTCAACGGTTGCACCAAAGACCTCTCAATTCTTATTTTAATTCCTAGGTTTTATATTTCTAGAATCTAGGGGAATTTGATAATTCTCATGTGGCAGATGCCATCCTAAGTTTTTATGCGGGCTAAAAAACAAGCGGAATACAAATGTATGGGGTAATGTTGGGGAGGAAGGAAGGAAAGGAGACCGGGATAAAGGGCTAAAGTTGGCCTTGTCTCACTGAATCCTTGCAATTGCCCGGGGAGGTATGTGTGATTAGCTTCATTCTTAGAGGACGAAACTGATACTCAGAGAGGTTAAGTACATATCTGAGGTGACACAGTTAATTAGCAGTACAGATGGGTTCTTGCCTAGTCTTTCCAAAGCCCAAATCCTAGCTCTCTGCCATGCCCTATGCCTCCTCAAAGTGCCTTGTCTGGAATTTCCCTGAGGTGCTATTATCCAGTACGGCTCTGGCCTGATGACCTTGGGTTTGAAGTGGTGCCCCCTGCCTTACCTTGAGCTGTGCCCTTGAGGCAGGCAGGGGGTATGGTGGTTAGTGAATTGGTGCGGAGGTAAGAATGCCCCGGAGGTTTGCCCATCATACATTAACTCTCTCCCACTGTCCCCTCAACAAACATATTGGCCCCAAATTGTAACTGAATAACACTCTATTACGTAGGTTTTCACTATGGTGTTTTACCTTGGAAATCAGGAAATAAGATTCTCATCCCAGGTCCAGCATTTATTCTTTCTGAGACTCAACACTTTATTTTAAAAGGACAGGAAAGGAGGAAAAACTAAGTCATCTCTAGAGTCTTTCAAATATGTTCTATCATTTATAATAACGATATAAAATAGATGCACATATATGTGTATATATACATAACGTGTTTATGTGTATGCTAATATTTAAATCAACATCTGCTTATCTGCACTTAGATCAGCCACAGTGATATAATTATCCAATAATCCCAAACTGGAAAATGGTTTAAAATCAATTGTTTGGCTTTGGAGTACATTATTTAGTGATTTTTGTCACAGAATTATTTAAAATAATAATAAAAAAGCTTTATTTCCTAACAGCACACTGATTGGTTGGAGCAAGGATATAGACCAGGAGGACTGAAGGAAATTTACTTGGGTTGAAACAAAATCACCTGCATAGTGATGGCCAATAGCCAAGAGCTGGCCATGGTCTTGGGGGCTCTTTGGTGTCAGACAAGTCTAGGTCTGGGTCCTGACCTTCCAGTTCCCTGGGTAGGGCAATCGTAGGCAGTTTATTTAACTTCTCTGAGCCTCAGTTCCCCCCACTGGAAAGTGGGGAGAACAGTACCTATCTTATAAAATTGTCAAGGGTGAGACTTGGCCGTATTTTGTGCCTGGCACAGGTCAGTGTCCCCCAAAGGGCAGCTGGTATCATCATGCATGTCCTTATGGTCATTCCTACCCTGCCCTCAAGGGCATGGTCACCCTTTCTTCTCCTGGGTGAGCATGCTGCACCAGAGTACCGAGAGGTATTTGCCAAACATTTGGGTGAGTAGCAAGATCATCTCGACTGTAGAAATGAAGGTCTGGAATGCTCCTCTGAAAAAGCCATTCCCATTTGCTTTTGGCCATGCTACTGAAGGTTGCGGGGGGTGGTTCCCCCTGCCTCTATGAATGGGTCCCCAGTAACCAGCCTCAGCCTCCTCCTGCTGTGGTGGGCACTGTTCTGGGTGCGCCCTACAGGCCAGCGCTCCAGCCAGGAGGGGGTTAAAACCAACATTTGCAGATAAAGAGGTAAACATATTTACATTCCTCTCTTCACACTTTATGCATATGTCATGCAGTGAATAGTTTTAGAGGTCTGTTTGTACTATCTCTCCAGAATTTTTACAGTCTGGAGGACACAAAATCTCTATAAAGTGACTTATTGAAATAGAAGCAGATTGGTAAAACCGTTTCCCTCTTATGAACTGTGAAGAATGATCCTCTAAATGAAATCAGGAAGGAACTGGACAGAATCTTGTTTAATGGTCTGACAAAATGAATCACAACGATTCCAGACATCCATCACTGCTAAAAAGGAACCACAAATGATCTGTGAACCACTATATATTGATTACCCATGTAGTACAAGTGTCGGATTTAATGTTCACACACCATAGAGAGGCGGCAGGGACAGATGGTGCCTTAACTCTTCTTTGATAGATTTTAATGGTGAAATATTGATTTCTATCTGGCCAAGGCCTGCTGTTAGGGGCCAAAGTCATTTGTTGGGTATTGCCGGACACCCAGTCGGCCCGGCGTAATCAATCATTTTTGGCAAGGCAGGTGAAAATCCAGAGAGAAGCACCTTGGAACCCAAACTGGAGTGTGATGTGTCTGAGTCCAGCCACCTAGAGAAAGAGAGAGAGAGAGAGAGGACTCTTGGAGATTGTGCTTGTAAAGAATTATTAATGATAAGACATGTTTACTGAGGAGAGTCGCAGCGAATCAGAGCTGACATGAAATAGTCTAGGAGCCTCGTGGAGAAAATGAGCCTCTTGCTAAGAGGGACTATATTTTATTTAAACATCCTTCTAAGGCTGAGAACTCAGGTAATCTGTTGTGTTACAAGCCACTGGCTGTTCTTGCCATCCAGAGAGATAACACTGAGGCGCTAATAGGAACACATCAATCACAATCAGGCTGCAATTCCAGTGGTGTCTCATCCTCCCAGCTCCTCTTTAAGCTCCTTTAATAATGGTGATAACATAGTTCGGGGGCTGCTGAGAGGGGCTCTCCCCTCTGAGGGTCATATTCATAAAGTGAATAGCTTGCCAAGTCAGCACCCTGGAAAGCGGATCTCTGCCGGACTTCCTTGCAGGAAGAGAGGGAGGAGCATGGGCGAATGGGGCGGGTTGGAATCCAACAGGAGAATTTTCTGTCATCTGTTGGCCCTCGAGGTTCTGTGATGTCACTCCTACCTCCTTCTAAGAAAGGGCTCTGTGTGTCTGTGTGCATGTGTGAGATGTGTAATTATCAAGCCACAAGACTCATTTTCTTAGGTAGCTTATAAAATGGTCTTGGAGGTGATTCCCAGTTGGAGCGCTCCACGTTTTGTGTATGACAACCTCATGCGAATGGGTATATGGCTTCCCCAGAGGATTCTGGGAAAGGGATGTGTGAGGCAGGTGGGGGGCAATGGGGGATCCTCTGGACTTCTGCCACTCTGTGTCAGTCTCTATCCTATCACCCCCAAGGTCAACACCTTTTTGCTGATTTGACTTCCTTGTAGGCTATGAGCTACTTGAGCGTGGCATTTGTGTCTAATTAATTGTTATATCTTCAGTACTAACACATGATCTTGGGACTCACAAGATACTCAGCTCGTGAATATGGCTGAACACATAAATGGAGGTGCTTATACCGAAAGAAGTCACACTGCTTTGCACCTTTTGAGTATCCACATAAATATGTGTGTTGTGGGTGTGTAAATATACACATTCACGAAAGCAAGCACTAACATTATAAAGACATGTAACCTTATTTGTGTGACTTGACTTCTTTTTATGAGACAGCATGGCTTAGTGGATGACAGCTTGGATACAAGAGGTGGACTGCCTGCATTCAAATCCTGGCTCCAGCACTTATTGGAAGATGACTGTGGACAAGTTGCTTGAACTCTCTGTGCCTCAGTTACCTCATCTGTAGAGCGGGAAGAATAACGTACTTATGTTTTAAGGATTAAATGAGTTAGTAGACATGAAGCATTTATAATAGTACATTGCATACACTAAGCATAAAGGTTTTACAGTGTGTGTATATATATACATGTACATATATACATATATATGTTTAAAGTACATATTTAGCCATGGCATTATATTCAAAATCTTTATATAAATGAATACATATCTGTTTCAGAAATACATAAGCCTTTAAATGGTTGGTGTTAGGGATCCCAACCAATATTCAAGTCTGAACTGAGAGCAGTAAGTTTAATTTGGTGGTAGTTAGATGGGGTGACAGGTATTACCTTAGTATGTTTATCTCCCAAAATCTTCCGTGAAGGTGTGTATCTCTAACTGAACGAGTGTATATATCCACGCACACATGCGAAGCTGCTGCAGGGCAGGATGAACCCAGCTTTGTGGACCATCCCAGATGTGCAACCTGCCCCCAGATGTGCGAGTGCGGGCAGCAGATTCCGCTTAGATTATCTTGCTTACCTAATGATTTTTGCTTCACTGCCTTGCTCGATTGTGTTCACCAGGACGGCAGGCTATTAAAATGTCAAGGCACATTGAATTGTTGTTATCCAGGAGAGACCTTTCCAATCAACCTGTGTTCTGGGGGTTGCATAAACTCCAAGAAGGCGATTGGAGAAAGGCTTTATGGCTTTTTTACATAGATGGGGGTGAGCAGGAAGGTTGGGAGAGGGCACGGGGAGGGGGAGGAGAGGTAGGACGGGATCGGGGTTTATGGCAGCTGGAGTGTGCTAATTAAAATGCCATCTCCTCAAACAGGTATTGGTGGCTCCTCGCCTTTGCATTTATGGGTAACTGCAATAGGGCCTTGCTGTGTGATGCTGTGGTTTAACGGAGGGAGGGGGAGGGGACTCACAGTGGGCGGTGGGCGGTGGGGGTGGGGCTGAGAGGCTGCACTGTTGAGAATCAGGGGTGGGATACGTCGAGCAATGTTACAAGGCAGAAATAGCGAGGACTTATATCCCGGGTTGGCAGAAGGGATTAGAGAGAAAAACAAAGGCTTCTTTGGCGCTTCCCGGTTCCAGCTCTGCGGAGGGAGACGCTCTCTGCACCCCAGGCGCTGGTGGCCTTAACCCACGCGGTACCTCTGGCCCGGCTCCGCCTGCGCCAGCTGGGACTGTCTGGAGACGGTCTTCTGTTCACGCCGTCAAGTCTCATTTGGCCGAGGATTTATTTTCCTTCGGGGACTGAGGGAAAGCAGGGGCAAAGGACGTTCTCATAAAGTATCCAGCGAGCGGGGCCGCTGGGGGCTCGCGCAGAAACTCAAAGTTCCCTGGCTGGAGTTTTCCCCTTTGTTCACATCGGCTTGCAAATATTTAGCTTTCCCCGGCCACGTCTGTTTCATTTTTGTTTCAAAAGAGATGGCTTTGTTTTTGCCGGCGCGGAACTAGGCGAGGCGCTGCGTGCGTCCCGCCCCCTCGCCTCGGGCGTCACTGCCTCGCGGCGCCAGCTAGGTGGCCCCGGGGCCGCCAGGCATCTCCGCCTTTGTCAGGCTTATTCGTCGGGGTGTTAGCTGCGGGCGCGCGCACGCACGCACGCACGAACGCATCCCCGCGCTCTCCCCCGCGCATGCGCGCAGCCGCCGCTCCGCCCCCTGCACCGCCTCCATCCCCCGGCTGTCGCACCCGCCAGTCCTCAAGTTCGCGTCCCTGTGCGCCGCGGGCTGTCCTGAGCTGTCCACCTGGGTCTCCTGTGCCCTGCGCAGCCCGATTTTTTTTGCTTAAACCCAAGGTGGCGTTTCCCGGTAACCTTCCTTCCGGCGTCTCTTTTAGCTGGCTGGCCGCGGGCAGTATCTTAATAAGGATTCATCTGACTTCTCTCTCCGTGCGTCCCTCTTCCTTGGCGGAGGGTGACGGGGCTTCCGGAGCCCGCCAGACCTGCTTTGGTACTTTAACCGCACCTTTCATCCAGAGGCAGCTTCTCCCTCAGCACACACTTCCAGGAACCTTTCCTCCCGCTAGCGCCCACGCAGTGTCCCTCATTACAGTTCCCAGGGTCCCATGAACTCTCAGCTTCACCAGGCTTTATCGAAAATGCTTGTTTATTTTTATCCCTACAAAACTGGCGGTTCATTCATTTAATCATTTATTGAACATCCACTTTTAAGTATTAACCTATTGTTAAGTACTGAGGTTATAACGGGAAGAAAAACAAGACCGAGTTCCTCCCACTGTGGCCTCTGAAAGATTCTCTCTGGGTCAGAGGCGGTGTTATACTTATTTCTGTAACCTGGAACATACTAATGCTAATGCATTAATGCTAATGGATGTTAATGCTAAATGCACTCTGAATACATAGATGAAAGGCAGAATGAGCCCTCCCCCACCCTTTTGGGGAATCTCACCAGCGTTTTCTGTTTGCTGTTTCATTATTCAAAACACAATCTTAATGACAAGCTCCATAGAAGCTTTTACTTAAAATCTTAAGTTCCTGTAGACCCATTATGTCCCTGGGTCTCTGAAGCCATCCTATGAGTTGGCTTGCGGTCCAGTACTAGCATTTCATCTTATTAAGGCTCAGGGAGTACAAAGTCAGAGGTCAAATGGCCCCTTGGTGATGGAGCCCAGATCAGACCTGACCCTCAGGCTCTGTATGGCCAGCCCAGCTCTGCACTCCAACTCTGTACAGGACGTGTGTCCTCGTCTCCTATGCATGCCACATCTTTCCCAACCAGATCTCAGGAAAATGGTAAAAGAGGGAATAGGTGGAGGCCCAGTTTCTATTTAATTCTCTTCCAGATTTTTCCTGGGCCCTCCCTGACACAAGAGATATGTAGAAAGGAGACTCATTTAATGGATATTCAGGTATGATTTTTCTCTCTTAGCTTCCTCTTAGCCCCTACTCTTGCCCCTCGTGATCTTTCCAGAGTAGGGTGAGCTCACCTCTGTCTTAACTGGATTTTCGCCAGGAACTTGAGGCTGCGTGCTATTCCCATCACCTGGGTCACTTCATTTCTGTGATTAGATTTGTTTAATTAACATAACTAGCAGGCCCTATGTACCTCGGCCAAGAGGGACGGACAGCTCCCCAAATGCTTTCTGGACACTGTGCCAATGGCAGCTTTGGGTCCATGCCAGTGACCTTAACTTCACCCACTTGTGGCATTTGTGCCGCTGATAACACACTGAGCCACCCAGGTGCCCCCAGACAGTGTTCTATATCACCTGGAGCATCTGGGGTTTCATTTCTCTGAGTTAAAAGTTCCTCATCTGTAAAAGGGGAATAACAAAGTTTACCTCACCACACTGATAACAGGATTCAGTGAGACAGTCTGTAAAGTGACCTCTTAATGTCTTGCACAGAGTGCACCCACTCCCCAGGTGTCTCCTTCTGGTATACACACAGACACATACACACCACACACACAAGCACACACACACACACACACACACACACACACACACCCCACAGTCACCAGCTTCATCCTAGCCAGGCTCTTCTTCATTCTTTCACTTCATTCCATCCATCGTTTTCTGATATTCCTTTAGTTTTCCCCCTCCTCCTATATATTCTTCCTTCTTCTCTCCCCCTTTCTAGTGCCCTCACTTCATTTGGCTCCTTGACCTTATCCTTTTCATGAAGTTTACTCATCTGGGCTCTGCCCAATGACAGTGAGTCATGTGGTCTGGGGCCAATTAAGAAACTTCTTTGGGCAAGTGCCCCTCTTTCTTCAGAAGCACCTTTCCCAGCAGTGTTAACCATGCCTGTGCCCTCATCAGACCCCTGACCCCTTGAGGTAGGGATTGTGGCTTAATGAGCTAGAACATAGGGGAGACTTGAAAAGGGTTGGTGGGGGGGGAAGGAAGGAAAGGAGGGAGGATGGGAAGAAGAAAGGTAGGAAGGAAGGATAGATGGACAGGAGAAAGGGAGGAAGGAAGGGAGGGAGAGAAGGAGGGAGGAAGGGCTCTTTTTATGATCCAAGGTGGTCAGTCTTATGAACTCCAGAGGCTGCACATGACTAACAGTAGCCTCTGCCTACCTTTATGCAAGTTCATAGAAGTGATTCTTACCTCCAGCCAGGGGACTGGCTGCTGAATGGAGCTCAGGCTGGGTTTCAGACCTTGTTTGCCTCTTTGGCTATAGCTCAGGGCACATTGTATAGCATGTGAGTTCTGCTGCAAAAGGAGTCGAGAATACAGCATAGGCTGCCTGGCACTGCTCTGACTCATGTTGTCAGTTGAAGTGGTTCAGGCTTCTCCTGTTAGAGAAGTCCCTGCCATTGGCCTGCACCATGGTCATGTAGCTGTTTCCCACAGAGCTGCAGTGGGGCATGGGGAGCATCTTCCCAGTTTGACAGAGATGCGTCAGGCTTCCTAGACATGCAGTCATTTGACAATGGCTGCCACCCTCATGATGGTGGAAGAAAGGAGTGCCTCCTTCCCTCACGTACCCTAAAGTTTGCCCTCATTGGGTGACCCTCCTTTAATATGACTGTAGACAATATGTATAGCTAATTTTATTAAGTGCCTAGTCAATGCTAGTTAATACTAAAGCTAGTGCAATGTTTTTTTTACTCCTCACAAAGCTCCATGGAATAGGCAGAAATCTCCCCATTTCACAGACATGCAAATGAGGTCTTAGAGAAGTAAGTGGTGGAAGTAAGGTAAGTAAGTATGTTGGTGGAAGACAGGTGAGTAAGTTGATGGAAGACACTTTCCAGCACAATGTGATCTCATCTCCCCCAGCATGGGATCCGAGCTCCAGGCTTTCTGATCTGAGAGTTCTCTTTAGTGGCTGCCAGATGTCTTGGAAGGACCTAGCAGTAAGGTGGGAAAGGGCACCTCTGAGTTGGAGGGCAGATATGGTTCAAGGAACTGGCTAGGTGACAACTTTGTTTGGCCAGAGCCTGGCCCATATCAAAACCACATGGACACTCCTCTTTTCTTCTTGCCAAAGAACAAAAGAAGAGATTAAAACTTTGTGCTCCCAGGAGGCACACACATTTGGAGGGTCTTCTGCTAATATAGCCTGCAGGAATATGAAACACTTTTGTCACTTTTTAGAAGCAGAGGTGGCAGAAAAAGGTCATATTTTCATCTCTTCAAGTTTCCAGTCATAAAGTGAAAATTTTTTTCCCTTAATCTCCTCCCTTTCAATAAGTCTCGGTGCTCTCGAGTTACTCGTTTTTCCACAATTTCCTGAAATTTCAAGTCTCTCCTGCACTAAGACATGGTGTTTGCCACAACCTCAGACTGTGTCTACTGGCAGGTGAGTTTTTAGATAAGTTTAAAAATCAAATCCATTAGGAATGGCGGCCTTGGAGGGACTGGAGGTGGGGGAGGGCAGAGAGCCTACTCCACAAATCTACACCAAAAACACAACAGAGACCTGAGTTCAGAAGGCTGTCCTGACCCTTGGGCAGCAATTCCTCCATCTCTCTGAGCCTTAGTTTTCACATCTGGAAAATGGCGGCAGCTGTAAGTGCCTCCCAGGGCTGCCTTAAGGAATGAATGAAGTGACGTGAGAAGGCATGGGGCAAGAGCTGGCCCTTGGTGGTCCCTCCCTAGACACTTACCATGTTCCCCCCAGTCATTCTAGCCATGTCGTTCCCCACTATTTCCGGCTCCCATGCAAACTTCTGTGACTTAGCTCTAGGCAGCTGCTGTGGGTTTTATGCCGGAATTATTCAGTTTTCATTTTGATTGGTTTTTCTCCGAGTCCACACTACAAGTGGGCTTCCATCCGGGGTAAATTTGCTTTGTATCTCTCCCACCAACATGGGCATCTTGGGTGTTGCATTGGGCTTTAAACTTGCATCTGATAGGGAATGGAGGCTCTGCTCCACTTTCTCTGGGTCTCATGCCATATGACCACTTGATGCACTTGTTGTTGAGACACATAGGTCCAATGTAAACATTTGACAGAGGCAGTTTTGCTTTGTGGTTATGAGCAGTGAAGATGCCTCTGACCCAAAGTACATACCCGTTGACAAATCCCTCAGTCCCTCTGAGCTTCAGATTGCCATTGGTAAGATAGGGACAATGGAGAGTGTCTCTCAGGGTTAGTGTGGAGATTACATGAAATCACAGATGTAAAGAGAGAGGTCTATGCCTCTATAGAGTAATGGTCTAATATATTTGTGGTTGGTATTTTTATTCTTAATGTGTGAAGGCTATCTATTTATCTACCTACTTACCTACCTACCTGCCTGCCTACCTGTCTACTTCTTCTACTTATCTACCTATCTACCATCTATCATGTCAAATATTCCTGGTGATTTTCATTACAATCTCTCAAGAAATGATTCTTCACAAAATAATGGCTCCAAGGTTGAATTAAAATAGTGTTGCAACCACTTCACGGGGCATGGTCCCCCATACAGGTTATAGACTAAGTACCTTTAATTTGCTCACTCCACCTTTAAGA